ATCGAAACCACGACACTTGAATGACAGATTTTGTGATTTCACGCTCAGACCACCACCCCACCCCACTCCACTCCACCCCAACCACCCAATATGGTAAGGCAACAAGGATTCGACCATCGACACAAACTAGGTCATTTCGGGACTAACATATGGTTTTTAATTTTTATTTCAATAATTCGCTTGGGCGTAGGGGTCTTTAGCAGTGGGAGGAAACCGGAGGACCCGGAGAAAACCCACGAGGTTGGACAAGCAACCCTACACCTTGTCACGTACAACCAGGGATTCGAAACCCCGCCTGTTGACTCAATGACAGGCCTTATGATACAGCACGCACGTGCTAACCATTCGGCCATCCACCCCATCCCCATCCCCATTTCAGTCATTCATTTCGTATGTACTTGAATGGCGACCATACCCAAAAATTAGTATACTATTTTGTAATGGCTCCTACTCCGGTTCACATCTGTTATACACAAAACGACTAATTAAACCTTTTCAATTTACCGAATGGATGCGGAATAAATACAACCTGATTAACATATAGATCCATATTTCGTTTCGTCTTCTATATTTTCGATGGCCTCCTCTAGCGTAGTAAAGGCCAGTAAAACGAAATTTTGAAATATATAAAACGAAACCAAATAGGATCTGTGTTTTAATCAGATTGGGAATAAATACTTCGAAAAACTCTCGAAGTATATATATGTATAGTGTTTTCGAATAAAAATAGTCGATTTAGGATTTTAAATGTCGGCTCAACAGAAAACGAAGTATATATTTTTGTTTATCACTAAAACTAATGTTACTAATTTATATATTACAGGAAACTATTGACGTTAAACGCTTCACTGAAGTCTGTGGTTTATGGCTGGAATTTAAACAGAAAATTATTTGAAAATCTAGGAATCGTCAACAGAATTTATCTCCTGTTTTTTTTTATTAAACTGTGTAAATAGTAATTTAAAGTCATATTATTAGCGAAACAGTATGTGAAAATACCAGTACTTCAAAGAAGAAGTTAATGGTTTTATCAGCACGGGATACTTTCACACTCACTGATCTTACCAAATCAATGTGTTTATTGTGTACATCCATTTGCTCATTCAGAGATGGAAGAATTCACTTTGTATAATCCAAAGTCTCTCATTGGTAAAAGGTTTACTAAACACAGATCTTCACAATCGAAGATAGAGAAAATGACATTACATGACATGGGACGAACCTCTCACGATAGTAAATCAAGTCAGGACATATCACCAGAATTGACAAAAACTTCTCTAGGTACGAATACATGCAGACATGCTAACACAGAAATCGAAGACATGCTAAGAAAATCCGACAACACGAAGATTGAGACAATGGCACAAACTTCTCACGATAATAAATTATTTAACGTTGGATTTTCAAACTCAAAGATGAAGCAAACGACATTATCTGACGGGATAAGAACTCCCCACGGTACTGAATCAAGTACCCATAGATCTTCTAGGATAAAGATAGAGCAGGGGACATCACCTGACACTGCAAGAACTTCCCACAATACTGAATCAAGTATCCATAGATATTCTAGGATAAAGATGGAGAAGGGAACATCACCGGACACCACAAGAAATTTCCACGACACCAAATCAAGTAACTCAAAGATTGCTAAAAGCACATTACATGATATCCTTCCAAGTTCCCAAGATACCAGGTCCTGTAACAACAGATCTGCCGACATAAAGATGGAAAAGATGACACCAACTGACACTGCAAGAACTTCCCACGATATGGCAAGTAAGGACAGTTCTCTTGCCTCAAAGACCACAAACACGACATTATCAGACAAAGCAAGGACTTCCCGAGATGCCAAATCCAGTAATGACAGGTCTTCGAATTCAACGATGGGGAAAACGACTCTCCATGGGACCACGCCAGGAAACCACAGATCTGCGAACTCAGAGATGAACAAAATGGCATCCTCGGACAAAGCAATGCCTTATCATGAAGTCAAATCTCGTAATGGTAGATTTGCTATCTATAAAAAGGAGGACAAAATACTACTTGAACTTGCAAGAACTCTCAGCAATATCAAATCAAGTAATCATAGATCTGTCAACTCCAATATGAACAAAACGTCATTACCTGAAATAGAAAGAACTAGCAAATCTACCAACCGCAGATCAGGCAGCCCAAAGATGGAAGAATTGAAATGGAAGAATCCTAGACCTTCTCCCGGTACCACGCCAAATATCTATGAATCCCGTATCCCCAAATTGACACACTCAAAAAACAGTACAACTCGCCTTAGATCATCTTTGGTTAGTCGGCAGATACAACCAACTCTCCGTGGTAGTACTCATAATCCCATCCCGTTAATGTCCCTGACAACTCAGCCCCCAACATACTTGGCAGGTCGATCATTCAAGTCCTCTGAGATTCCTGAAACTAACACGAAACTGTTAGCGGCAGTTGTTTGAACCAGACGCATACAGGTAGCCTGAGTTCAAGATCTGAAATTAGATCTGCTACTCGGCCGAAGACATTACCAGCAGAGTCGATTTGCAGTTTAAGACCAGGTCCAGATGTTGAGTCCATTCCAGCCGTGCCAGGCCTAAAGCCGGATAAATCTATAGGCTGTGGCAATGATGCCCCAAATGCTTTTGGCTCACTAGTTGTATCTGGACAAAGGCGCCCAGGATTGAAATATGCCAGACCAGGATGCGCGGAGTCAGTTTTAGTACCATCTGCTCCTAAGAAGTTCAGATCCCAGTCACCTGCAAAGTCTGCTCGCTTTAGTTGTTAGTTAACTGCATCATCTATTGTGGCTACGTCTATTCCTTATCTTGCCCCAAACAGTCACTGAGGTCAGTTAGCCCCTTCTCTAGAACGAAGGGTCGGACCTTGTGGCCCTGTCGGTGGTTTTACCGTGGACACGAAGAAGCGCAATCAAAGATTAAATAAAGCCTCACTGTGCCCAGTCCCTGGATGTGGATACAAAAGTAACAGTTTAAAACTACATGTGCTGACACTTCATCCCCCTTCCTTTTTTCGGGTACCCCGAGGTAGGTTAGCCTCCCCGTGTCCGGGAGTTATCAGCAAAAGGATATTAACCTTGCGATCTGTGGCCCAGGCTATCCCAGGGGTCGGCGAAAATCTTTGGAGTTTGATGCAACGTGTTAATAGCGACCACCTCATTCCCCGTGATAGCAGAGTTGATCCACCTATCACTAATTTCTCATTGAGCCCCCTAACTCGCCCAGCCAGTTTAACTCATTGGAGAGTGTTTGCCTCCATATTAGGTTACGTCTCGGAAATAGAAAGACGCGCAATTCTAAATAGGTTCTTTTAAGAAAGTGCAGACCTTTTAGGAAGTACAGACTTTTTAGGAAGTACAGACATTTTTTGAAAGTACAAAGTTTTTAGAAAGTACCGATCAATAGAAAAGTACAGATATTTCATAAAGTACAAAGTTTTTAGAATGTACAGATCGTACAGATCAATAAGAAAATGCAGGCTTTTAAGCTCTTTCTTTTAAGAAAGTCTGTTTCTTTTAAGATGCTGTCCCTTTCAGTTTCGGAAAATTCTTCCCTTAAAACCTTTTTTTTGATATTTTATATGTAGATGATTATTCTAATTCCTGGTCAGGGACTGAGCTAAGAATACCATGTCCTAATGTAGAATTCTATTCTCTTTAGTTTTATATCTTATTCAGAGGGATTTTGTCAGAGAGAAGTTGTTTATTATAATAAGAGTCCCAAGTTGTGGATGAAACACAAGTTTGTTTTCGTTAACTTTCTAATTCAGCAAAATTCCAGTTTTAAGAATGATCATGAAAGACTGCATTAATATAAAAATCTTTTTTAAGGTTTAAAAACTTTTTTTTTTCATCCGATGCTGTAAACATAAAAATCCTTTTTAATGTTTAAAAACTGTTTTGATTTTGATTTGTTTCATCGGATGCTGTAAATATAAAACTACTTTTTAATGTTTTGTTTTGTTTTGTTAAATCCGATACAGCACATAAAAAACACTCCCTTTTTATGGGTTAAAACTGCTACCCGATACAGTTTATTATGGGTTAAAACTGTTCTGTTTTATTTTGTTTAATCCGATACAGTACATATAAAACTCTTTTTTATGGTATAAAAATGGTTTTGTTTTATTTTTTTTAAAATCCGATACTGTAAATATAAAGCTCATTTTTAATGTTTAAAAACAGATTTGTTTTGTTTTGTTTTGTTTCATCCGATACAGTAAATATAATCTGATTTGTTTTGTTCTGTTTCATCCGATGCTGTAAACATAAACTGATTTGTTTTGTTTCACCCGATACTGTGAATATTTAAACTGTTTTGTTTGTCTTGTTTCATCCGATGTTGTAAATATATAAAAATTCCTTTACTGGTTTAAAAACTGTTTTGTTTTGTTTTATCCGATGCTATAAATATAAACCTTTTATTAGCCGTCTCTGTCCCTTCATCAGTCTGGCGTCAACATTTGCTAAAAACAACACAGTTGTTAAAATACAAATATATCAATTACATTCATTTTTTACAAAAATACTTTTTTATTTCTTTCGAAGATTTATTTCATCGGGATTTTCCCACGTGGTTTCCTCTTGTCAGTGCTGCAGGACGGAGGTCCTGACAAGGACAGCTGTGTAGTCATTCGGATGAGACAAACACCGAGGTACCCTGTATACATTGGCGTGCACGTAAAATATCCCTTGACAGTTGGAATTCGATATAAGAGTAGGCCGCAATGTCGCTGCCCGGGCAAAATTACCCTCATAGCACACTGTATGGCGTATGCCCATCTTCATAAGCCCAGTTGGAACTTTACAGTAGGACGTTAAACCCCATTTCATTTTTCGAAGATTTATATTATAGAGTGGATGGGCATTTTGCGTAAAAATAAAATTGAAATTGTCTATTATTCGACGTTAAATTTTTCGAAAATTGTGAGTTATTCGGGTTGCTTAGTCCACATCACAATTTGTATTAACCGGATGTCAATAATTGCAAATGTCCACAAGGAAAATAGCTTTGCAAGTGTTAAAGAAGTCACGAACCGGTACTAATGAATTGGCTTGGAATTGAGACTGCGTTTGGCAGTATAAAAGGAGAAAATGGTATGTTTACTTTTCTTTACCATTTGTGAACTATATATTTGGGTTGAATAAATGATTCTGTGCACAGTTTCTTTGTTCAAAATGTGAGGGTCCAACTCAGAGTTAGACATCTGTATTAATACGGTATTTGCAAGCTAACTGATATTTTAACATTGCGCCGGATATGTATTAAGGCTTTTTTATAGATTTGCCATATCGATTTGAATTTTGTGGAGATACCATACCATGTGATATTATAGTCCATTTCAAAGTATGTCAGCGAGTTCGTTAATTACGCTTATTCTTGTGGATGGACATAATTGAAAAAACGATGTGATCACCTGATCATATCATTCAATCGCACCTTGAAGTGATTTTGCAAGTTGCTGTAATCACTTCGGAAGTCAGTTTCGATAAATTTGTTAATTAGGGTACCGTAATCAATTTGAATTAGATGGACGCTAAAGATGAAAATTTGATTGAATGCAAATCACTTTGGCTGATCATTAGTCAATAAAAATGCCTTTAATGATATCAATAAAAAAATACAAATTAGAGCTGAAAAAAATGACAAACCTTGAATTTGTACCTGACAGGTGACTTTATTTCCATGCTTGAAGTGATTAAAATTTCTTACTGATTCTTGTTAGCATACTTTTATAGGGTCAAGGTATATCATTCGCCATATTGTTTTCACTTGGTGAAGACATTTCCTCAATACTCACTACATGTAACAGTATCACTTTCATTCCGTTGTATTGAACACTATAAGACTTTATTTAATTCTTGTACAACACCCAATGTCACTAAATTAATCATTTTATAGCGTTATTATTTACAAATCCAACTTTAAACATAAATATGCAAGAGCTAAATCTGCCTATTGCAGGACTTTCTTTAGGTCTGAAATGTTATCTAAATTATTAATTAGACATTAATTAACTTATCCAGACCATGATCAACTCTCGATGTCATCGCTAGCCTTCGATGTGTATTGGATTAGGTTCTGATTTGCTGTTTGACTTCCATTCATAATTTAATCAAGAAATGGATAATAGAGACTATGTTTTTTATTGTACCAACTTTAGTAATGATGATTGAGGCTAGGCTGAAAATTCAATCGCTAAAATCTCGATTCAGAGTGGATCAATTTTACTGAAATTTTCAGCAAATTCCTTTTACATTATCTAGTATTTAACTATTATAGTGAGAACTACCAGCTCTTTATCTAATGTCCCATAGTGTATCTTTAAGGAATAATAATTTCTGAATACTAACTCCGTTGGATGAGATGACGTAGTGTTTGGGGAACCTCTTATTTCTGATTGGATAATACAAATATAATTTTCATTAGAAACAGTCTAGATCACGACACACAGTCCCTTTGTTAAACTATTCGTTGTACCTGATTTGGCCAAATAAAAGTGATTTTACTTGATCGAGCATTTGGTTACCATCCAGTCCAACGAATCTGTTTTGTATGGTTTAATTTTATTTCAATAATTCACTTGCGCATAGGGGTCTTTAGCAGTGGGAGGAAACCGGAGGACCCAGAGAAAACCCACGTGGGTTGGACATGCGACCCTACTCCTTGTCACATACAACCGGGGATTAAAAACCATGCCAGGTGACTCAATGACAAGCCTTATGATACAGCGCGCACATGCTAACTATTCGTCCATCCAGCCCCCCAAGTTGAATTGGAACCTGCATATATAAAGACGGATAGTGTCACTAGTAGTGAATGTTGTGAAATGATCAAGGTCGAAATATCTTCACAGGGTCAAAACAAACTGGTGCGTAATATATGTTGTCCCTATCCTAGTAGGCTAGACAAGATATTGTAAGAAAATTTAATCTCTCCAATTGGAATTCGAAGTAAGAGTAGGAAAAAATTATGTTAAACCTCATTTCATGTCCTTTCCGCACTACAAGAAAGTAATGATATCGAAACTTTATATATTACAGGAGACTGAGGATGTTAAAACATTTCATCAGTGTGTTGTATGTGATGAGATATTTGAATGGTATGAATACTTGGAAATCCACAATAAAATACATGTTAAAGAAGAGAAAACTGACGATGTTGAAAACCAGACTGAAATACATGATGATGAGGAAGAAACTGGTTACATAGAAAATATTAAAGATGAGAAACCAGACAAAGTTGTGGGACTTGATGGAAGTAAGGGAGACAACTCTGTTCAAATTATGGGAGATAACTCTGAGCAAAGTGAGGGAGACAACTCTGATGATCAAAACAGGAGACTTTTTAAACAAGAGACAATACATGAAGTTGAAAAGGTTGAAGGTTTCGGAAACTTTAGTACAAAAACAAACCATAACAAAATATATGTTGAAGGGGCGGAGACTGATCTTGTTGAGAATAGAATACACAAGAAACATGTTATAGAAGCGGGATGTATGGAAAGTTCGTCACATCAATGTACAGTTTGTAGCAAGAATTTTAAGCAATACACTGACTTAGAAAAACATTATAAAATACATGTTAAAGACGAGGAGTCTATACATGTAGCTACTACTTCACATTACTGTATAGTTTGTAAGGAGCATTGTACACAATATTTAGACTTAGTAGAACATTATAAAGTACATTTTAAAGAAGAGGAGTCTAAAGCAAGTACTTTGTATCAATGTACAGTATGTCCAATTAGTTTTAAACAATATATAGAATTGGAGGAACATAGTAAAGTACATATTAAAGAAAAGGAGTTAACAGAATGTACCACACATCAATGTACAGTTTGTCAAAAGAATTTCACTCTATTCATTGATTTACAGGAACATAATTGTAGTAAAACTGATTTAAATCAACTCGGTCAATCTGATGATGTGCCTTTAGGAGAAAAATTAAAGAAAAAAGCAGACTGGCCATGCTCTATTTGTCATAAATCATTTTCTTGGAAATGTAGATTGCAAAAACACATGAAACATCACACAGGGGACAAGCCTTTTAAATGTGATGTGTGTGGTAAATCATTTACACTAAAGGCTAATTTGCAATCACATGTCAAAATACATAGTGGAGATCAACCATTTAAATGTGATGTTTGTGGTAAATCATTTAGCCTGAAATCTAATTTACGAGCGCACATCAAGATTCATACTGGTGACAAGGCTTATAAATGTGATGTTTGTGGTAAATCATTTACCCTGAAGTCAAATTTGCAACAACATATAAGAACTCATACCGGCGATCAACCTTTTAAATGTGATGTTTGTGATAAATCATTTTCCCAAAAGTGCAGTCAGAAGAAGCACATCAAAACACATTTTAAATGTAGCGCTTGTAAGACATCATTCTCCTCTGGAGATCAACTGACAGAACATATGAAGATTCATACTGGTGAACGCTGGATAAAAATTCGCCCAAAATATCAAGATAATAAAAATTAGTCGTATCAAATGAAATGAATGTAGTTGAGTTTAATATGCTACTCTTTTGCACCCACCAGCCTACTGAACTTGTAGACTAGCATAGGCCATGCAGTGTGCTATAAGGAGAATTGTGGCTGCCTAATCTTTATTGAATTTCAGCTGTCAAGGGTTCGTTTACGTGTTCACAGGGCAAATGTCCACTGTTTGTATTTATTTTATTGTTTCTAGTAGAAAAGGAGGGGGTGTTGAGGATTCTGACCGAATGTTTTAGTGCATGCTCATTAGATTATAATATCTGTAATTGAGTTGAATGGCTAGGTTTTGAGGCCCCACTTGAATATTTCGAGGACTATGATCACTTTTTCAACCTTATTAGGTTTTCTCCGGGTCCTCCAGTTTCCTACCACTGCCTGCTAAAGACCCTTACATGCAAGCAAATTATTAAGATAAAATTGAACCGTATTATGTTAGTCCAAAAATCATCTAGTTTGTGTTGAGTGGATGTTAAACTCTCTCTCTCTCTCTCCTCCTTCTCTCTCTCACTTTCTGTGTAGAAAGGACAATATAAACCTGTTGAAATTTACACAAAATCCAATTATGCAAACTCAAGTTATCATGTAATGCAAATGATTTTATTTGCTAACCGAAAAGAATAAGACACTGGGAAATCCCAAAATGAAGGACAGGTTGCTAGACAGGGGGGGGGGGGGAATAACTCTGGAATGCTGAATATTGACAGGGTTGGTCGTCTCATACATCCAATGCATCAAGCCAAATGTGGGAAAAGTTCTGTTAAAGCTATAGCCTCTGTCGCATTCACAAGGTTTTCAGTTGGGTGGGGTGGGGGTGTCACCCCCTCATTACCCATAAGTTTTCCCGCAAGTTTTTTTTTAATTAAAAAATCTGTTATAATATACAGACTCAGTGGTGTTCACAATGTTTTCGCAAAAAGGGGCACAAATCTGGTATGAAAGGTTACGGAACGCTGAATATCGATAGGATTTGTCTTCTCATGCTCATGACCAGAATGCTTCATACCAAATTGAAAATGAATCCGTCCAAAACTGTAGCTTCTGTCGCGTTCACAACCCAATTGTTCACAGACGGCCAGGGTGACGACCTAATGAAGTCTAAAGATGATCTTCTTTGATTGGCATTTAGTAATTGAACATATTAACACAGTGTACAATTTTATGGATACACAATTACTGAGTTTAATGCTAAGTGACGTTTCGACGAGGATACTCTCGTCTTTATCAAGCAAATGATACAAATATGTGAATTGTAAGCAAATATATACAGAATATGCAATGAAAATAACAATAAAATACAATTAAAATGTAACACCTTTGATGGTCCCCTAATCAAATGTGTTAAGTTTAATTGTATTTAGGGGACTTGGATGGCTGAATGGTTAGCACATGCGCGCTGTATCATAAGGTCTGTCATTGAGTCAACTGGCGGGGTTTCGAGTCCCCGGTTCTACGTGACAAGGAGTAGGGTCGCTTGTCCAACCTCATGCCCTCCGGTTTCCTCCCACTGCTAAAGACCCCTACGCACAAGCGAATTGATGAAATAAAATTGAACTATGTGTTAGGCCCGAAATGACCTAGTTTGTGTCGAGTGGACGTTAAAACCCATCTCTCTCTCTCTCTCTCTCTTTCATTGTATTTAACATCACTCTTCCATTGGAGGCTTCCATCTTTATCGGCCAAAATCGCAGCCATAGCACACTCTATGACGTATGTCCATCTTCATTAGTCCAATTGCTGCGGGTATTGTCGAAAGATTTTGACAACGAAATCATTGGTTCCATTTTCTATCTGAAACTCACAGGAAAGTGCTCTAGATATAATCTACGGCGATGTAATTTTCACGTTCTATTTCATGGTTTGAAACCACACCATTATAGACTTACTGACACTCGATTCAATGATAGACCTTATGATCTTAAGCGTAAACATTAAACCATTCACCACCCACCACTCCTCTCTTTTGAAATGAATTGGAGTTTAACGTCCTAGTGTTCTGCTCCTAGACTGGGCTAATGAAGACGGGCAAACGCAAGATGCTATGAGGGAATTTTTGCCCGGCAGTGGGACTACGGTTTACTCTTATATCAAATTCCAACTGCCAGGGAATCTTTTACGTGCACGCCAATGTATACACGGAACCTTGGTTTTTCGTCCCATCCGAACGTATAGACAGATGTCCTTGTCAAGCCCTCTGTTCTGCACCTATACTGGGCTAATAAAGACGGGCATACGCCATACAGTGTCCAAGGGGAACGATCTGGAAAATCACTTTCTAGAGGGGATCGAACAAGGGACCCCAAGGTCAGCGAGCCGACATCTTACAGTGTACTATGAGGGAAATTTTGACCGGGCGGCGGCACTACGGCCTACTCTTATATCCAATTCCAGCTGCCAAGGGATCCCGGTTTTTCGCAACTAAACAGCTGTTCTTGTCAGGCCATACGTCCTGCACCACTGATAAGGGGAAACCACGTCGGAAAACCCCGTTGAACTTTCTAGGCCAATGCAGGGATCGAACATGCGACCCCAAGCTAGCGAGCCAGCGTCTTAGCCACCGTGACCCCCACCCCATGTCTTTTATTCTAGTACGTAATCTTTTTGATGCAAGAAAGAAGGGACCTTAAACCTCATTTCATTAATTAAAGTCCGCAAGGCCATAGGTTTTCGTTTTCAACTTTTATTTAATTAAACTTCGGATGTGATAAATAACGAACAATAAAAATAAACAACATAATCTGTATTTATCTAGAATCTGATCAATACAAAATAATAAACAACATTATACGCCTGTATCAGCTTCACAAAATATATATTATAAAACAGCACCGTGTGATGTGCCAACTTCAATTAAGTGGGCGTGGCTTGAGTTTGTGACACTCTGTGTCTCTCCTTTATATCTTTATACCCACCCAGCCCTTAGCCTAGCTTTAGAGTGAGTGGGCGTGGCTAAAGTTTGCACCGAGTGACAATATTTTTATACAGAAGTAAATATTTGATACACATGTATATATAATTTATACCAGTAAATATTTAATATACCAGTAAATATATAAGTATATATAATCCATACCAGTAAATATTGAATATACCAGTAAATATACAAGTATATAAAATTTATACCAGTAAATATTGAATATACCAGTAAATATTGAATTTACCAGTAAATATACACGTATATACAATTTATGCCAGTAAATAAACACGTATATATAATTAATACTAGTAAATATTAAATATACAAGTATGTACAATTTATATAAGGGCCTATTTAAAATGCAATTATATATAATTTATACCAGAAAAGAATGAGTTTCTTACATATTTCCATGTTTGAGCACTTTTAGTGATTCATGTGATCACCATAGTTACTCTACTGTTTCCATGGTTACTAATAGATAAACTGGTAAATAAAAATAGATGGTTTAAAATTTTCCAAATTTTGCACTTTTATTGCCAACAATAATCCTGAATACAATTTCATCGACAGCCACATTCTGCTGCAATCATTTCCTCGTGATGTCTGACAACTATCTCATCATATTCATAATATAACATACTTAATGGCTTTAATTTAGTTGGTACACAACATGCACTGGGCGCTATATTCTTCACCTTACTACGCATTAAGGCTTTCAACATGGCGTGATTTGTAGGTTTATATTTTACATCGATAGGAGAAGCACATTCTCCATGACAAAATCCAGCATTAAACTTTTGAGGGTGAATAACCCACTGGCCCCAACCTATGACATTAAAATCCACTTCGAAATTGTAGAGTTTACACTCTCCTCCGTTGCGTCTACGACCTTTACGTTCGATCTTATGTCGTTTCTGTCTGGAGAGAACATTGTTTAAACCGGATTCTTTGTTGTGTTTCTCTTGAGTTTTATAAACATTTGATAAAAATTGTCCATCTTCTAAATAAAATACTATTAAAGAACCGGAATCCCCCGAACCGCGCTTTTTGGTTAATTTAAGTTTTCTTGGAACTTTCATGTGAATTGTAATATTTCCATGGTAACCATTAATCCAAGGTCTAACAACTCTACTAACATCAATAACTTCGTGTTCACCTTGGGTTTCTGGTTTTGTCCTTAAAGCTAATTTTTTGATCACGGTATCGCCTCGCTTTAGTTCAATTTTGAACCTCATCTTTACACCTGGCACGTATTTGATAGGATGACGTAAAAATCTGATCTCGGCCGACCTCAGTCGTTCATTTTCTGGTAGCTCTGGTATTTGAAAGTAAACATTTTTATTGGAGTTCTTTGTCGAACTGATTTTAGCTGAAATGAAAATAATCGTAAATTATATTAATATGATTTTTTAAAAACCAAACAAAGATTGTGATTAAAGACAGTTATGTTTGAAGTCTTGTATTTCCCCTATGGTTATAGTGTTATAGTAGTGGTGAGTGTAGTCCACAGGACAGACTATACTTATAACTTAACCCCCACTAGCATGGTATTATAGTATGTGTGGGTGTCGTCCACGAGGCAGACTATATTTATAATAGCAGTGTTGAATGTTGTCCACAGGGCAGATTATACTTATAACTTAACCCCGACTAGCATGATATTAAAGTGTTGGTGGATGTCGTCCACGTGGCAGACTATACTTATTATAGTAGTGGTGCATGTTGTCCAAAGGGCAGACTATACTTATAGCTTGGTATTGTAGCAATCTTGGGCAGACTATACTGATAATTATTTCCACTAGCACGGTATCATAGCACTCGTGAGTGTTGTCGAAGATACCCAGTTTGCCTATATTTAGGGGGTCGGGTCACGGTTGCTAAGTGGGTAAGACGCTGGTTCCCTAGTCTGGAGGTCGTGTGTTCGATCCCAGCATTGGCCGAGAAAGTACATCGTGATTTTCCGACGTGATTTCCCCTTGTCAGTGGTGCAGGAAGGGGGGCCTGACAAGGACAGTTGTCTAGTCGTTTGGATGGGATTAAAAACCGAGGTCCCGTGTACACAATGACGTTCACGTAAAATATCCCTTGAAAGTTGGAATTCGATATAAGAGTAGGGTGTAGCGCCGGAGCCTGGCAAATATTTAACTGATAGTATACTGTTTGGCGTTTGCACGTCTTCATTAGCCCAGTTCGGAGCAGAACAGTAGGACGTTCAACCCCATTTCATTTCATTTTCTATTGAAGGGTCCCAGAACAGTGCCATATAATACAAATATCACATGACAATTCTTTATAATATAAAACACTTTTTAAGAAGACAATCTTACCTTTAGCTGAGAAACTTCGTATTGTATCTGATTGAGAAATATCCGGTTTGTTCCACGATTGATCTGATCCCTGTGTTACAGTCTGTCCTCGCTGTAACTCATTAAATAATTTCACCATAAAAACCGTGGATGCTTTACGATAATCTACGACTGATTTACCATTATTAAATAACAATTGTAAAATATCTTGATTGGTGGTGATCAACTCTTGGTCCTCGGAAATAATGAAGCTGGATTTATCTGGAACGTTGTTTGGCCATGTTCCTACTCTTAAATCACGAGCAGTAACTTCCAGGATAATCATAAAACTGGTAAATAACGTGAACAGATGATGGTACATATTTGATTTGATGTTGGTGGTTGTATAGAAGGATTGAAGTAGCTTGTAGGGTTGTATCATCTCGACACTGTATGACCCCTTGAAGAACAGGGGACGATTAAATACACCTCGATCTACCTGTGACATTAATTTCTAGACAATGGCGGTACTGTGTAGAGGGGTTTGAAGGGATTAAGGGACCTTAACCTAACATACAGCACAGCTCTCCTTCCTTACAGAGACACGGATCTTATCATAAATAGGTACAACTCAACGTGATTAACTGGAAACAATAGAAACGATTAATCATTACAATAGGATATTACCAGCTAAATGACAATTGATTTTAATATTTAAAGATTTAACATAAATAGAAAAAGAAACAACTGTTTGATTCGGTATCTCATACAAAAAATAAATCTGTTTGTTTAAAATGTCACTCAAAATAATCTGTCACTCATTTCTTTCTTTCATGAATATTCATTTCAAGTTACAAGAAGGTGGAGTCGAGACATTAACCGCCGTCATCTTAATTGCTGCTACGACGACGGATGAAGTGTACAATTCTCTACACATTTTTTTTATCAATTAATGCACGCGAGTAAACTATATCAATACTCATCAATCTAACCAACACATATGTAAAGAAACATATCCAATGTAATCATTGTGACCGCTGGCTATTTCATTATACCCGTATATCTAGTTCTCTTAGTCCTTCGTACAGAAAACAGCGATAAGCCATCGACAATTCGTCGCAGATTAACCACCCATGGTTCCGATGATCACGTGGGACGGCCGTCTTTATAAAATAAACAATACTGGAATTGAAGAATAGTTTAAAGGCCTATTGGTTGATTTGATAGAGATAGCGAGGGAGGGGGCCGTTAAAATACATTTAAATTAAAATGCCCTGTGGTCACCGACGGTTTGATTGCTCCTTGTGACTTGATAAATATACAAGTTTCACAATGAATACATCACCAATAAAAGTGACCGAATTCTCCCCTCTTGACAATAATCCTAATCGTTTTAACATTTTAATGTGTTTATCTGTTACTTATCGATAGATTAGACTTCACACGTATGTTTCTTAATCGATTGTTGTGTTGGTAGTTGGTAGCCACTGTGGCTAAGTGAGTAAGACGTTGGCTCGCTATAGCCTGGAGGTCACGGGTTCGATCTCCGTGTTGGCAGAGAAACTTCATAGGGGTTTTCCTGCAGAGGGCCTGACAATTACAGCTGTCTAGTCGTTCGGATGGGACGAAAAACTGAGGTCCCGTGTGCACATTGGTGTGCGCGTTAAAAATCTCTTGGCAGCTTGAATTCGATATAAATGTAAACCGTAGCGCCGCTGCCCTTGTGGCTCAGCGACTGGAGAGCTGGCTCACTAACCCTGTACACTGAGGGCCCCTCGTTTATCGCCTGTATCTCTTGTTATTAGTGCTTTTTTTTTTAGACAATAATCTACATAGCCCTGGCACGAGACTGTGGATTGCAGTTGTCTCTCACGACTGGCCTCCGTATCCATGCGTTTGATTTTGTATGTATAGCCTCCACGGGACGTCGGCATTTTCGTACCATTCAAACAACTAGGCAAACTAGACAAGGCAGCTCCTTAATAACACACTGGATGGGGAATGTCCGTCTTCATTTTCCCAGTCGGAGCAGAACAGTTAAGCCCTATTTCATTTCATTTAATTTGGAAGCCATTGTGGCTCAGCGAATGGAGAGCTGGCTCACTAACCCTGTACACTGAGGGCCCCTCGTTTATCGCTTGTATCTCTTGTTATTAGTGCTTTTTTTTTTAGACAATAATCTACATAGCCCTGGCACGAGACTGTGGATTGCAGTTGTCTCTCACGACTGGCCTCCGTATCCATGCGTTTGATTTTGTATGTATAGCCTCCACGGGACGTCGGCATTTTCGTACCATTCAAACAACTAGGCAAACTAGACAAGGCAGCTCCTTAGGCGCCAACCCCGAGTCGGAAATCTAACTCAATACATGACAAATCAAGGAACCGGTTGACAGATTAGTGGTTAATAAAATGAATGTACACGTATATCCGAGAATATCAAAACAAAACTTCGAAATCAAAAAATATTACTACATATCGTAACTGTGATTCCGAACGAGTACGGGGGCGTATAAATGTGAACACGGGAACTCGGATTTTTGTCCCATCCGAACGACTACCGTGGTGTATAAATAAACAGCCAAAAAATTAATTTATTCTTCTATCGCCTGGTAATTAAACGATCAACCAATCTCTGAAATTCCTGATCTCAAAAACAATTTTGTTATGGTATCAGTCAATCACTGAGATTCCTATACTAGTCTTAAAACTGTTTCCCACGCCATTAGATCTTAATGAAACAAGTAAGGAGCAGTGATTGGGTTATTAAGAAGATAATCTGTTAATAAAATACATCGATTAAAACGGATTATCTTTTAAACTATTTAAAATATCTGTATTATATTTTGTAGATCTATGTTCGACCAGTTTACTAATTGCAATTTAACTGTCTTTTTTGTAAAAAAAGAAAAAACTAAAATGTTCTTCCCACGGTTTAATTTAAATATTTACCGTATATGCCATATTGGTTGGCGACTAATTTAAGAAATGGACTTTTCAAATTCCATATTTTAACAAATGTTAAGCCTACCCCTCTTTCAAATTAATTAAAATGGATTTTTCAAACATTGTATTTGATAAATACGGAGATTTGTCAATCTGATTGAAATACAGATCTATATTTCGTAACGAAATTTTGAACTATAAAAAACGAAACGAAATAGGATCTGTGTTTTAATCAAATTGGGAGATTTGTATTGGAAGAAGTTAGAGAAGTACAAGATAATACGTAATGGAAGAACATGAATACAGGCCCCAAGCATTCTCAGACTTCAGTTAAACATACAATATGCAAGAGCTAAATCTGTCTATTGCAGGTCTTTCTTTAGGCCTGAAATGTTATCTAAATTATTAATTAAACATTAATTAACTTATCCAGACCATAATCAACTCTAGATGGCATCGCTAGCCTGTGATCTTAAGTGGATTGTGAGCCGATTTACTGCATAACTTTCCTTCTCGATTAAACGATTAAATAGATAATCGAGACTATGCTGTTTATCGTATGAAATTTTCAGCAAATTGCCTTTACGTTATCTAGTTTTATAGTGAGAACTGCCAACTCGTTATCGAATCTCCCATAATGTATCTTTAAGAATTTACTCAACTTTCAATCACTGTTAATGAGAAATATGTTTGATCCAGAAACACAAAACTTTGCAAATAGTTCCTTATTGTTTTCAGTTGCGGCGCCCCCCCCCCCCCCCATCAATCTGGTCTGCCCTCTGTTTGCCCCCCCAAATAATTTTAGAAAATAAAAAAAAGTATTTGCGATACGTTTCGGTAATCAATGCCTTCTACGGTGAATAAATCCCACATCCCCACTCAGTCATAAACTTGCATGTTGTAGAGCATTTGCGGCAGTCTATTTTTCAAAATTTTCTTGGCGAGGTCCCCAATGGACTCGCTACTTTGGCGCTCACAAGGGGAATTCGTTGAGGTTCGCAAGTCCGTTCGTTTGACATTTTGTTCTCTAGTCGGATAAACTAGTGATCAGGCGTCGAACGGTATCTGGGCAGATCGATTTATCTCGACGATCGGTGCCTGACATAATACTGTAAGACAGCATTTCCGGCAGTCTATTTTTCAAAATTTTCTGGGGGAGGACTCCCTACTTTGACGCTCGTGAGTGGGCTTCGTCGTGATTCGCAAATCCGTTCGTTTGACACTTTACCTCATCGATCAGTGCCTGAAATACTGCCAGGCTGCATTTCCGGCAACCTGTTTTTCAAAATTTTCTGGGGGAGGCCCCCTACCCCTAGTTGAAGCTTGTGCCTTTGCCCCCTTAACCTTGGACTTTGCCCCAGCTTTGCCCCTCCAATCACCGACGGTTGGCGCCGCCACTGATTGTTGTATTTGATACATTAAAACAACCAAAATTTTATAAAGGGTTATATTTTATTCAAAATAAGAGGAACAATTTTGAGTAAAATCTTAACTTAAGTCTGAGAATGCTTTGTGAACTCGGGGCCATGTAATGTAAATTTACTGGCGACTTAAAATTGACATAGTTAACATAGATACGTTTGTGGATATGGCACCACGGTGGCTCAGTGGGTAGGAGGGTGGCACGCTAACCTGGAGGTCCAGTGTTCTATCCCTGCGTTGGCCGAGAAGGTTCGTCGGATTATCCGGCGTGACCCCCCCCCCCGTCCTTGTCAGTCGCGTAGGACGAAGGGCCTGGCAAGTGACAATGTCTAGTCGTTCGGATGGGACGGAAAACCGAGGTCCAGTATATCTTCATTATCCATTATATGTATCCAATATGTTTTATAATTATAAGGGATTGGGTAACGTGTGCGCGTTGGACCGGAAGGTCTGTCATCGAGTCAAGTGGCATGGTTTCGATTTCCGGCTTGTAGGTGAACCGTAGTAGGGCGCCTGTCCGGTTTCCCCCACTGCTAAGTACCCCTACGTGCAAGCGAATTATTGAAATAAAATTGAATCATACGTTAGTCCCGAAATGACCTAGTTTGTGTTGAGTAGACGTTAATCACCATTTCTCTGCATGTATGTATGTATGTATCTAAATCAGCTAGAGGGGTTATACATAAGCTTAGCCTGTTCCCCAGTCCAAATTCAGATATTTACTGAATAAAAATATTGTTTATAAAAATTTTTTTACTTCCACTATGCGACAATTCAGCATGACACAGTAGCAAAAAAATTGTGGGCATCTTGTATATTTTTATACATATGCTGATTACACTATTTTGCCTTATTGCACTATTTTGCCTATACCGTTTTTTTTAGGACTTCTAATTTTGTCTAATGGTTTGGATTGTTCGTACTTGGATATATTTTATTCATTTAAATCTACACATACCGCAGATTTATAAATAAAACCTTAGGTGGACTATATTTCCAGGGTTTGTTAACCTGCTGTCGGATCAGCTCATCGGCTTTAATACCGGTGAAACCTGTTTTGTTCTTATATCGACTGGTGATTAAAAGATCAGTCAATCTCTAAAATTCCTGATCTTAAAACCATTTTGTATGTCATTCTCTGAAATTCCCGATCTTAAAATCATTTTGTCTGTCAGTCTGTGAAATTAATGACCTTTTTAAAAATAAAACCATTTCCCACGCCAATAGATCTTGGGTATTAATGAAACAAGTAAGGATCAGTGATTGGGTTATTAAGAAGATAATCTGTTAATAAAATACATCGATTAAAACGGATTATCTTTTAAACTATATTTTGTAGATCTATTAAAGAGAATATGTTTGATCAGTTTATTAATTGCAATTTAGAAAAAATTTGTTTATATGTTTCTTGGGATACGGATTGCCCACATGATAGTCCGGTAAAAATAATAAATGACCTAGAACAAATTGCAACATAATTTTTCTCGTCGAAATCTGGTAGAGGGGTCCCTGAAGGTCTCCCAAACAAAAATCGCCCAAAATAAAAAGATAGGTTTTCGAGTAATTAGCATAAATCCAATATGGCCGCCATTGGCACCTTAAAACTCCAATAGCTACGAGTATCATCAATGCTTTATTGAGAATGGGGAACATAGAAGCCTTGCAAGCAGTTTAATAGTAAAGCTGTACAAACGAACTAACCTGTAGTTTTATTTTACGATCAGAAAGGAAACAAATAATTTCAAATAAGAAATACAGAAGCCGTGCGCATTCAAAGTACCGATCAGAAATCCTGGCCCATAAATATAATGTAGCTGTATCGCGAACGCTGAATGAAATAGGTCTAAAATTGCTTGGGGTCTCGCTGCTTTTACCAAACATAATAATAATAATAACCGTTTTTATAGCGCTGAACATTCAGTCAGTCTGACTGCTCTGTGGCGCTTTACAGCGTTGATATGATTATAAAAAAACATACATGTATATACAAATAAACAAAAGAATACAAAGGAATAGACAAGTTACAATATACAAATAGAAAGTGAAGCATTTAAATTATAGTATTAAAGTTTGGGTAAAAAACGGGTTTTTAGACGTCGTTTAAATATATAGCCAAGTTTGGACTTCCAGAGGCAATTTGTTCCATTCTTTTGGTGCTGCGTGCGCAAAAGCTCTTTCACCAAACTTTGACTTCTGTACTGGACATACAAGTTGGGTTTATGAGATGAACGTAAGGAACGAGAAGGCACATATTGTTTAATCAAATCGGATAAATAGAATGATGCGATAGGATCGTTTAAACAGTTGAAAGTTTCTGGTCCAGGTAATACTTTTCTGGATGTGTGATGGATTTTGTTTAATAATCTTACTGCAGACTAGCGTGGCTGCTGTTTTGATAAATCTCTTCTGGTCGAATTCCAAATCCCCCGTTCGTGAATTATCATAACATTGTCGAAGAGTTGTCCCGGTTCTTCGTTTAATCATTACGCCTTTTCACATTGTCTGTCCATAATACATAAGATATCAGAGTTTTAAGATTTCCAAAGGCGGCCATATTGGAATTATACTAATGATTGGACTATGGCGTTATGACGTCACATGGACGTAATTTGGCAATGTTTTTCTGAGTCATCTGTACCAGTTTCCTATCTACCAGCAATACACTTACACCCTCTGAACTCAGCCATTCCCGATATATTGCAGTTATAAGGTTTCAATGGTAGCCATATTGGATTTATGCCAATTGCTGCACGTATGACTTTACATAGGGACGTCATGGATTATGCTTTTTTTTATTCTTTGGTACCACTTTTATATCTACCCCTAATACATTTACACCCTATAAAATCAATCACTCCCGAGATATTGGAGTTTAAAGGTGCCAATGGCGGCCATATCGGATATTGGATTTATGATAATTACTCGAAAACCTATCTTTTTTTTTTTTTGAATTCATGCTAATTGTTGGCCGTATGATTTATGACGTCACAAGGATGTCGCATGGCATTGTTTTTCTAGTTCTTTGGTAGCACTTTCCTATCTGCTCGTAATACATTTACATCCTCCAAACTCAAACATTCCCGAGATATTGGAGTTTTAGGTTTCAATGGCGGCCATATTGGATTTATGCTAATTATTGGCCGTATGACGGTATGACGTCACAGGAACGTCTTGTAGCTATGTTGTTCTAAGTCATCTGTACCATTTTCCTATCTACCCGTAATACATTTACACCCTCCAAACTCAACCATTCCCGAGATATCGGAGTTTTAAGGTGCAAATGGCGGCCATATTGGATTTATTCAAATTGCTGGCCGTATGGCGGTATGACGTCATAGGGACGTCATTTCGCTTTGTTTTTCTGAGCCATCTGTACCACTTTCTTATCTACCCGTAATACATTTACACCCTCCAAACTCAACCATTCCCGAGATATTGGAGTTTTAAGATGCCAATGGCGACCATATTGGATTTATACTAATTACTTGAAAACCTATCTTTTTATTTTGGGCGATTTTTGGTTTTGAGCCCTTCTGGGACCCCTCTACCAGATTCCATCCAGAAATATTCTGTTGCAATTTGTTCTAGGTATCCACTCCATATGGCTTATCTTTACCCGACTATGATCTTACAAATGAAAGTTACTGTATGTCATCATATCAAAATATATGTTTCAGCAAGGCCCTCATATAGGGGGTGGGAGGTGAGGGGGTATATGTCCGGGGGCGATACTTCTTGGGGGAGGGGGTGGGGCTAATTAAGTAAGTGCATACCAGACCAGCAGAAATATTCTCCTTGGCGGTAGAGATAACACATCACCGGCCTTCGCGCCCCCAAACCTGTGTAAACGAGATCATTTTTCAGCAAATAGAGAGGGTAGAATTATGATTTTTCCAGTATATATTATAAGGGTTTTTTTTTGGATCAAATGGAGGGCTGAAGGGAAAACAACCTTAAAATTTGTACTTATAAGTTGATTTAATAAATAGTAATTTAGATATTGTTTAAAATATTGTATTTGAAAGTCAAATGAGAGCAGACACCGAACAAACAAAGAAGTTACAGTATGTGACGGGGGGGGGGGGCGTCACTGAAAGTTTTTCCCTGGGGCGCCACATAGGCTTGTGAGGGTGTTATGTTTCAGACGTTAAAATATATTAATCATGCATTATGCAAGAGCTAAATCATCTACCTTTTGTAGGTCTTTCTTTAGGCCTGAAATGTTATCTAAATTATTAAATTATTAATTAGACATTAATTAACTTATCCAGACCATAATCCACTCTCGATGGCATCGTTAGCCTAAGGTATTTAGTTGATTTGAATACATTTTGTGATGGATAATTTAGCGTAAACGTGGATAATCGAGATTGTGTTTATTACCGTACCAACGTTCGTAATGATGATCGGGATTAGCCTAAAATTGAAAGGCTACTATCGCGGTTCAGAGTGAAGCAATTTGACTGAAAATTTCATCATATTCTGTTTTCATTATCTATTTATTTTTTTATTTATTATAGCGAGAACTGTTTTTCTGGACAGCGGTACTACGGCTTACTCAAGTATCAAGAGTTTGTTTGTTATTTTTTTGCGTCAACGTATACGGGGCCTAGGTTTCCATCTCGATGAATTTTATGGCATCGAACACGGGATCTCCAGGTTAGCGAGCCAACGTCTTACTATTATAGTGAGAACTGCAAACTCGTTATCGAATCTCCCATAATGTATCTTTAAGAATTTACTCAACTTTCAATGAGAAATATGTTTGATCCAGAAACACAAAACTTTGCAAACAGTTCCTTATTGTTTTTAGTGGCGACGACCTCTGTTTGCCCCCCATAATAATTTTAGAAAATAAAAAAAAGTATTTGCGATACGTTTCGGTAATCAATACCTTCTACGGTGAATAAATCCCACATCCCCACTCAGTCATAAACTTGCATGTTGTTGAGCATTTCCGACAGTCTATTTTTCAAAATTTTCTTGGCGAGGTCCCCAATGGACTCGCTACTTTGGCGCTCACAAGGGGAATTCGTTGAGGTTCGCAAGTCCGTTCGTTTGACATTTTGTTCTCTAGTCGGATAAACTAGTGATCAGGCGTCGAACGGTATCTGGGCAGATCGATTTATCTCGACGATCGGTGCCTGACATAATACTGTAAGACAGCATTTCCGGCAGTCTATTTTTCAAAATTTTCTGGGGGAGGACTCCCTACTTTGACGCTCGTGAGTGGGCTTCGTCGTGATTCGCAAATCCGTTCGTTTGACACTTTACCTCATCGATCAGTGCCTGAAATACTGCCAGGCTGCATTTCCGGCAACCTGTTTTTCAAAATTTTCTGGGGGAGGCCCCCTACCCCTAGTTGAAGCTTGTGCCTTTGCCCCCTTAACCTTGGACTTTGCCCCAGCTTTGCCCCTCCAATCACCGACGGTTGGCGCCGCCACTGATTGTTGTATTTGATACATTAAAACAACCAAAGTTTTATAAAGGGTTATATTTTATTCAAAATAAGAGGAACAATTTTGAGTAAAATCTTAACTTAAGTCTGAGAATGCTTTGTGAACTCGGGGCCATGTAATGTAAATTTACTGGCGACTTAAATTTGACATAGTTAGCATGGATACGTTTGTGGATATGGCACCACGGTGGCTCAGTGGGTAGGAGGGTGGCACGCTAACCTGGAGGTCCAGTGTTCTATCCCTGCGTTGGCCGAGAAGGTTCGTCGGATTATCCGGCGTGACCCCCCCCCCCCGTCCTTGTCAGTCGCGTAGGACGAAGGGCCTGGCAATTGACAATGTCTAGTCGTTCGGATGGGACGGAAAACCGAGGTCCAGTATATCTCTATTATCCATTATATGTATCCAATATGTTTTATAATTATAAGGGATTGGGTAACGCGTGCGCGTTGGACCGGAAGGTCTGTCATCGAGTCAAGTGGCATGGTTTCGATTTCCGGCTTGTAGGTGAACCGTAGTAGGGCGCCTGTCCGGTTTCCCCCACTGCTAAGTACCCCTACGTGCAAGCGAATTATTGAAATAAAATTGAATCATACGTTAGTCCCGAAATGACCTAGTTTGTGTTGAGTAGACGTTAATCACCATTTCTCTGCATGTATGTATGTATGTATGTATCTAAATCAGCTAGAGGGGTTATACATAAGCTTAGCCTGTTCCCCAGTCCAAATTCAGATATTTACTGAATAAAAATATTGTTTATAAAAAAAAAATTACTTCCACTATGCGACAATTCAGCATGACACAGTAGCAAAAAAATTGTGGGCATCTTGTATATTTTTATACATATGCTGATTACACTATTTTGCCTTATTGCACTATTTTGCCTATACCGTTTTTTTTAGGACTTCTAATTTTGTCTAATGGTTTGGATTGTTCGTACTTGGATTTATTTTATTCATTTAAATCTACACATACCGCAGATTTATAAATAAAACCTTAGGTGGACTATATTTCCAGGGTTTGTTAACCTGCTGTCGGATCAGCTCATCGGCTTTAATACCGGTGAAACCTGTTTTGTTCTTATATCGACTGGTGATTAAAAGATCAGTCAATCTCTAAAATTCCTGATCTTAAAACCATTTTGTATGTCATTCTCTGAAATTCCCGATCTTAAAATCATTTTGTCTGTCAGTCTGTGAAATTAATGACCTTTTTAAAAATAAAACCATTTCCCACGCCAATAGATCTTGGGTATTAATGAAACAAGTAAGGATCAGTGATTGGGTTATTAAGAAGATAATCTGTTAATAAAATACATCGATTAAAACGGATTATCTTTTAAACTATATTTTGTAGATCTATTAAAGAGAATATGTTTGATCAGTTTATTAATTGCAATTTAGAAAAAAAAGAATTTAAAAAAGTCCTTCCCACGGTTGAGGAGATTTTGAAATTTGTTTATATGTTTCTTGGGATACGGATTGCCCACATGATAGTCCGGTAAAAATAATAAATGACCTAGAACAAAT